AAAACAGGGAAGAGTCTTCACAGAATGTATTCTAAAAATTTTGTCCTGAGTAATATTCCTATAAGCCGTCTTTCAAAATTTTAGATACTGTGGAACCGTGTGTAGTAGTTTAGCTGTTCTTTAGGGGGAGTTAATGTGGGGCAGCTGTATAAAATATATTAGATAAGTCCATAATAATTTTAAGGTAACAAAAATATTTAATAATCACCACTTACCATCTACATTTATTTTGTTAGCCCTGTCTATCAAATGGCACAGTAGCAGAAATTGAAGAAAAAATGGTCTCCTGTGTTTCCTTAAGTGATTAGTAACTCCTGGCCTGAAAATTCAATAATTAACTTGATGTTTGAGAGTTAATGTTGATCAAGTATCAAATGCTTTTGGTTATATGTTTTCAAGTGGCAGTTTTCTGGTTATCAGCAGCTTTGAAGAGGTCAGCTGCAGATGTGGCTCATTCTTCTCTTGGATATTTTCCTATAGGCTTGGTAGCTTATGTTCTTCTCTGTAAATAGGCTTCTTCGTAGGAGTCGACCAGAAGAGGTCTGCTACCAACCTCTGGTTTCAGTTTTTAAAGAATTAAAAAACTTCAGCATTTGCATGGATATGGTTTTAAACAAGTTTACCATAGGCAGTGGAGTTCGGAGTTTACTGGTTTGGGTCACGTTGGGTCAGGCTGCTACTGCTGGTCACCGTTTAGAAGTTTGTTTACGTAATGGGGAACAGACAGTTGTGAAACCTTGCATTTTGAAGGATAAAATGCCAATCTGTACATCAAACCTGAAGAAGCCTACAGGGGAAAAAAAAAAGAGAGATCTAGCCATCTAAGAATTTGAGAAGGACAGGTATGTTCAGGCTGCCTTGTCAGATGTTAGGACGAAACAACAGTGGCTTGGCAGGTTCTCCCTTATTGTTAGCCAGCTGTGTTACAGCAGCAGTCCATGCGAGAAAGTCATTCCCACAGGCAGATATCTAGCTTCTCTGCCAGCTCACATTTAGTTTTGAAAGCAGTTAACCGCAAGGAACTTGATTGCATCCAGCCGGTTATTTCCCTTGGACTCAGATAATAACAGAAACGGAACCAGAAATAGTCCTCTGATGCTATACACAATGTAATTTAGTGCAATTCTTCTAGCCTTCATCTATATGAATACTAGGTGAATGAGTTTAAAAGTTTGTGGGGTTTGATTTTTTTTTTTTTAAATCACAAAGTTGCTGTGACCCCTGAAAGTGATCCTTGGTCTCATTATAGCGTATGTGGTTTTACAAGAGATTGCATAGATTTTCGTTATAGCTGCAGCATTTATATTGTAATTCAGGTGGTGTTGATGTTTCTATTATGACCTTGCTTCAGTGAATTACTCCAGGCTGAAACTGGATGTACAGGAGCAAAATTCACTCTTTGCAGTGCACAGGAAATAGTGTGTCTTCTTCTGTGTGGCAGTAGCACACTCTCCACTCTTTTTTCTTTCTGAATGTGTTATTTTTCTTGTAAGTCTCAATATGAGTGCAGTTCATTGTAAAATTGGCAATAATATGAGGAAGAACAAGTACAGGAACAGTTTTTCCTATGTGAGTTCTAGAAAAAACAAACAGTAAATTGAAATGCTTAACTGCACTAAGAGGCCAAAGAAAAGGAGTTTCTAAAAGAATGTTAGGAGCGGAGGTGAGAGAGATCAGAGGGGAAGCTTCCCAATGAAAACAAAATTCTTGGGCTATGCTATTTTCTTGCTTGGGCTGGACCTGCCAGCAAGTTGGCTTTTCCATCTAGACATCTATGTCATCAGTCTAGCTCTTCCTTCCCCATCATCAGCTTCAGCAGAGTCATGGGAGCATATAGCTATTTACAGTGCACTGTTATTACTATGGATGATGTCTTGTACAAAAATAGGTTATTTTCTTTCAAATTTTTGCTTCCAGACAAGTGGAACAAGCGAATCCTTCCCACCCTCTTTATGAAATTGCTTGAGGGAAAAAGGCTTCTCACCCTTTGCTTGTCCTCTGAAACAGAAGAAAACTCTTGTCCTTCCTGCTGTTACTGCCTGATAAAGAGACAAAGGGAAGGTGCTTGGGAGGATAGAACCTTTTTCAACAGACAGTGCTGTTCACTGTATTTCTGGAATAATTCACTAAAATTCTGGAATAAAGCTAATGCTGCTCTTCAGGTTTGATAAGGTTATGTACCTGGAGTGATTGGTCCTTTATGCCACTTCTTTTGTCCGTGAAGACCATCATCCAGATGATGATTCAGAATATTACTGGAACCTCAAGGCAAATAACCTAACACCTTGGATTTTCCTTTTTCTTAGAATTTGTACATATGGTGTCATCAGGAAGGAAGGGTAATTGAAAAAAATGGCTGATAATTCTACTTCTTATGCAAAAAATATACCAACAATTATTTCCCCAATTAAGAATGTTTCCTTCTGCATTTAGAGATTGTTTTTATTTAGTACTTTAAAAGCAGATTTTATTTCTAATATAAAACAGTGGAAATAATTAAAGGTTACTGTCTGTTATTATTCCTTCCCACTCTGTCAAAGTATCTGCAGGACATAGGGTCAGTAGAAAACTGATGAGGCCAGCAGGAGATTTGAAGCTAAGGTGATGTTATGCTCCTAATATCCTCTTCCTAATCGTATACTTAGGAAAATCAGTTGAGCACAGTAAAATATATTCACAAAGGCCTATATGTTTTACTTACATTTGACTAAGACCCATCTCCTCAGTTAGTTGTTTACGTAGTATTAAAAAAACCCTTTCCAATAAAAAGAATTGATTCGTTTATCACTTAAGAAGAACAAACAGCAGGAGTTTTAATACACAATCAGATAACAGATTAGTTTACAAAGCCATTCTGCAATTAAAGATACTTAGGTTTGAATGTGGCCTCTTCCCCCTTCTCCCTGCACCTCTCGTAGATACATCTGTACTTGCAGCTTGTTGCAATTTAATATTGTGACTATGATGGTTTGCTCCAGGAAGAAGCAGCTTCACAGATGGGTTATATTAAATGTAATGTGTAGCCATTGCTTTGTTAATTATGTCTCCATGAAGTAAAGCAACAGTTAAAATATTTGCTTAATTTGTGGACTGAGGGCTGCTCCCATCTCTAAATGATTTACATTGTTTACAACAGCATTTTTCTCTTCAGTGAAGTAAGAGGTTGAATTCTGGTTTGAAAGTGAAACAATTAGAAAGAACAAGAAGTACATTAGACCACTTATATGCATTCCTCCTCCTTTGAGGAGCTGGCTTGTCAGCAAAGTGTAATGTTCTTGCATATAGTGACTGCTAAAAAAGTCAAAAAGAATCCATAACCCACCACTTTACCAAAGATCTGAAAATGGAAAATTTAATTGAATGGAGCTTTGAACAGATTTACTGGAAATAATACCCTCTGTATCAATTTTCTTTCATAGCTTCTTATTTGTGTTTTCCTTCTTTCATTTCTTCATATGTACATTGAGCAAACTACCACCTCTGGGAATGTAGAATGTAAAACATAAGTGGGATTGTTAGCAA